ACATAAAAGAGCCCTTGGAGTCTACAAGAAGTAGCTATTAGGTTGAGCAAAAAACCTATTAATTACTACACACTAAAGAACTAAAACTGTTTCTTTTTTTTTTTTTTGTCAATTCAGAAACTCCGTTCTTTTATCAATACCAATTCAGAAACTCTGTTTTTTTTTATCATTACCAATTCAGAAACTCTTAGTAGTCAAATCTAGGTGCAGATATTGATTTCACTTCCTTTTATATGTTTTAGTCTGTTTGAGATGCTCAAATCTCTTCAGAAATTAACCTCTATTGCTGTGGAAGGATGAACTATACCTCTCATACATAAAAGAGACTTTGGAGTCTACAAGAAGTAGCTATCAGATTGAATAAAAAAACTATTAATTACTACACACTAAAGAACTAACTAATTTAACACCAGAGGCAGTTAATATTGGCAAAAAATGAACTTATACATTTTAACCATACTACATATAGCACCTCATAAACGTAGACTAGTGAACTGTAACACAGACAACATTTTTTATCAAACTTGGATTTAGATTAAAAAGCACAGCACTGCCAATACTGCATGGTCAATACATCGATCTACCATCACCTTCAATGATCACATCCTTGAAGGCTCCACCACTTGGAATCATAGGCAGCACATGCTCTTGATGGGGTACGACAACATCCAGCAAGTATGGTCCAGGGGTCTCTAACATTTTCTTAATTGCTTCCCTTAGCTCGCTCTTCTTTGTTACACGGGCAGCTGGTATATCACAAGCTTCTGCAAACTTCAACATGTTGGGAAAAATCTCAAACTCCTTTGATGGGTTCCCAAGCTTCTGCAAACTTCAACTTTGTTACCCGGTTTGCCTTGTAGAACCGATCCTCCCAACGAACAACCAAACCCAAATGTTGATTATTTAAAAGCAACATCTTGATGGGGAGATTTTCCACCCTTATAGTTGCAAGCTCTTGGACATTCATGATAAAACTTCCATCCCCATCAATATCTACAATAATGGCATCAGGTYTGGCCACAGAAGCCCCAATAGCAGCAGGCAACCCAAAACCCATTGCACCWAATCCGCCTGATRTTAACCACTGGCGCGGCCTCTTGTACTTGTACCATTGAGCTGCCCACATCTGATGCTGCCCGACTCCAGTRCTTATAATAGCATTTCCATCTGTCAGTTCATCMAGAACCTKAATTGCGTACTGAGGAGGAATGGCTTCTCCAAAMGTCTTRAAAGACRATGGATACTTGATTTTCTGTTCATTAAGTTCTTCCCTCCATGCTGAAAATYCAAACTTGAGCTTTGGTCTTCTTTCCTCTATCAACCTGTTTAACCTTTCTAGTGCCAACTTTACATCAGTRCAGATTGAGAGATGRGGTTGCTTGTTCTTCCCAATTTCAGCCGGGTCAATATCAATGTGAACAATCTTAGCCCGACTAGCAAAAGCCTCAATTTTTCCTGTGACACGGTCATCAAATCTGACTCCAAATGCAAGCAATAAATCAGATTCWTCTACYGCATAGTTRGCATMAACAGTACCATGCATTCCAAGCATCTGAAGGGATARCTCGTCTKATYCAGGGTAAACCCCAAGACCCATTARAGTAGTTGCCACGGGAATGCCTGTGAGCTCCACAAAACGTCTCAGCTCCTCGCTTGWGTTCAAACATCCACCACCAACATACAAGACTGGATTTTTGGACTCAGATATAAACCGAATAATCTGCTCCAGATGGGCATCGTCCGGTGATTTCGGCAATCTGGACAGATAACCCGGTAGTTTTATCGGCAAATTCCAATTGGGCACAACAAGCTGCTGCTGGATATCCTTCGGGATATCAATCAGTACAGGACCCGGACGACCCGAAGTTGC